ATACAGAGACAGAAAAACAGAGACAGAGAAAGGAACCTCACAGTGTGTATTGGGGGTGGGTGGTTTGAGGACCAGCAAGGGGGCTGTGGTAACTGGTTCAGGACTCAAGTTTGGAAGCCTCCTTGCCCTTTGGTAGAAATGGTACAATTTCTTCCATATTAGTCCACATTACCCAAGGACCTGTAGATGGAAATTATATCATGACTAAATGAGTTTCCTGTTTCTCATGGAACAGGATGACATATCTCAGAGGGAAGGGATGGTGGATCAACTGAAGAACTTATATGCATAGTAGAGGCCCAGTGCACGGGATTCATGCACTGGTGGGGGGGGGGCGTGGCCTGCGGGGATCGGCCCGCTGTGGGAGCACCACTCATCCAGGTCAGCTGAGCAGCTGTGGACCTGCCCTCTGAGTAGCTGCGCCCTGGTCTGGCACCTTCTGTGGAGCCGGAGCACTCATCTCTCCAGGGGACCTGGTTGGGGCCAGGCCCAGGGACAATAGCACTGAGAGGTGGTGGAGTAGGCCTCAGTCCCATGGCAGCAATGAACCTGCCTCCCAGCCTCTGGGGTCAGCTCTGCGAGCCCAGCGGCAGCACTATGCAGCCTGCGGGCGCTCGGAGGAGGTGGCAGGGGAGAGGAGGAGGATCCTGGGGTTAGGAGTCAACGATCACAGCCTGGGTTCCTGCCCATCGGCCCGGGGTTCACAGCGAGAGCAGCCACACATCCTGGTCAGCCGAGCGGGGCTCCCACTGGGGTAGCACACTGACCACCAGGGGGAAGCTCCTGCATTGAGTGTCTGCCCCCTGATGGTCAGTGCACGTCATAGTGGACTGGTCGTTCTGGTCGTTCCACCATTTGGTTGCTGGGCTTTTATTATATAGGATATGCCTAACCCATGGACAGACAATAGTGAGGTGAAGGCTGGGGGTGGGGCAGGTGGGAGCAGGGTGGATGGAGTCAATGGGAGGAAAAAAGGGGACATCTATAATACTTTCAATAATAAGGATAAATTTAAAAATTAAAAAATAAAAAGTATGCATTACCCTAAAGAAAAAATACAAACAAGAAAAAACAACCAACCAACCAATAAAACCCAAAAGAATGACTTTCCTGCTTCCAGAAGTGGGAGGGAATAATGGTGCAGAGAAGAGCTTTGTCATCTCCCTGGCTCTGCGTGTGTGTGCATGTGTGTTTGCATGTGTTTGCATGTGTGTGTATGCACGCATCTGTGTGTTTGCATGTGTGTGTGTACCTGTGTGTGCATTTTAATTTTTGTAAACACTAGAGGGGAAATTTCAAGTAATAAAAGTTGTTTCTAAAAGTGGAATAGGGTAGCTCTTCTAGCCCGCCCTGCCCCAGGCCTTCCCCTCCCTATTGTCTGTGTCCAGGGTTATGCATATATGCATACAAGTTCTTTGGTTGATCTCTTTCTACCAACCCACCCTCCCCTGCCTTCCCTCTGAGGTTTGACAGTCTGTTCCATGCTTCTATGTCTCTGGAGCTATTTTGTTCATCAGTTTATTTTATTCATTAGTACACACAGTGTTGACAGCCTAGAGCAGTGATGGCGAACCTTTTGAGCTCGGCGTGTCAGCATTTTAAAAAACCCTAACTTAACTCTGGTGCTGTGTCACATAAAGAAATTTTTTGATATTTGCAACCATAGCAAAACAAAGATTTATATTTTTGATATTTATTTCATATATTTAAATGCCATTTAACAAAGAAAAATCAACCAAAAAAATGAGTTTGCGTGTCACCTCTGACACGCGTGTCATAGGTTCGCCATCACTGGCCTAGAGATACAATATGTGTGGCTGGATAATGAATTTAAAATAGCCAATTATTTCCTTCCCAGTGTCTCACTGCCCCCTCCCCTCCCCACCCTGACTTCATAACTTCTCCTGCACTGGGACAACCTTATGGTCGGATGCTCTTCACGTCAGTGGGTGCCAAAAGCAGAACAGGGACAGAGGGGGGACCCTCCCTGGCTTCTGCCGTACCTTGGCCCGGAGGGCAGTGGCCAGGATGCTTCAGGCGGAGAGATGCGGGGTCGGTCCTGTGATTCCCCCCAAGCCAAGCTCTGAATGGGGGTGATACCCTTGGATAGATTGGACGGTTTGAGAGCCGGGATGTGTTCAGGTCGGAGGCTGACTCAAAGCTCCTCTCATGGGCCCTGCAGCAGCGGCAGAAGGGAAAGGGCTCAGGGGTCAGAATGAGGCAGCCGCTTGGACTATGGATGGAGAGGCAGGGAGACAGGCTGGCTCAGCACAGACAACAGGCCCCAAGGACTAGATACCTCCTGCCCTCGACGTGTACTAGGTCAGCCCCAGAACTGAGACATACCACAGAGATGAAAGGAATTTGAGATGGACAGTAGGGCAGGCCTCCTGGGTGGGTGTTGCGCCATCACACAGGTCTCTATGCAGAATGGGCCGGTCAAGTGTGGTCATCTTGCAATTCTTAAGTTTTGACCAAGGGGCTTGCATTTTTCATTGTG